TGATTTTTTTCTAGGAAAAAATCCTTCATTTAATGAGCTTCATAAATAAAATTATAACAACTGCTGACATGCTTTCAACCATAGGCTAGATTGGTAATGATAACACTAATTCTCAATCTCTTTATTATCTTACTGTCTTGGCATTACTGTATGTATCTTACTCCATAGTTAAATTTGTATTTTTATAGTAATTAAATAGCATTTTATTAGCCTATATCTTTTTAATTGCGTCTAAAATCAATTCTGATTTGAGGTGCTGAAAACATTACCTAGATTTCCATTACAAGGGATTGTTTAGCATCTTGACCAAGAGTGAGTAATTGAGGTTAATGCAGTTTAACATCTTTAGAACTGAAATTCCTGTTAATGACAATAATATACTATGCCTCGTTATGTGTTTTGCTGGTGCCAGTGGGTTAATAATACCCGAGATGGTCTCTTGAAAATGACCCTTCCTTAGCTTTAGCGTTTTGGAAATGTGATGTCTGTCACTTAACCTCATAGATACCAGACGTTATCTATGGTAGGGCTAAATTCCTTCAGTGTAGATTATTATTATTATTATTATGGCTTAAAGCTTGTATTGCATAGCTTATTTTTATGCTAGTGCAGTAACGCAGTTGTTTTGCAGATTGCAATGACAAGCAGAAAAGTTAGGCCGTTGCAACGTAGGGGTTTTCTTCTTGATGGCACTCCTTATGGCTGCGTGCAGACTCGTGTCTCTTGCCTGCCAATTATTCCGCTATGTTTTCTTGTTCTTTCTTCAGTCTGGAACAGATCAACTTGCATCTTTTTTTTTTTTTTTAGATAGTGTTCATCCTTTATTAAAAATGCTTTGGCAATGGATTATACAGAATTAAGGGGATTGCTTTGTCACCATCCCTCTCCCCTCCCCTGCACTGAGGGCTATTAGTGTTAATTATTTAGAGTTCCTTGTTTTGCACACAGGAAACGGTGATCAATGTGCAATGCTAGGGAAATGGCTGTGTACCCCCGACGTCAGTACTTTACCCCTTGTCTTTCCAAGTGTCCGTGCTCTTTGATGGTAGCCTTTGGTTTTTATTCAGCACAGTGTAAATAGCACTATTTAGAAAGATGGCGGGGGGGGGGATGTTGTTTGGTTGATTTTTTTGCCATGCAGGAACATTTTCTCTGGAATTGTTAACCTTCTGACACAGCCTGCAATGTTTCTTTTCTTGCGTTTTTACTAATCTCCTGTTAATTTTCAGCTGTTGTGCATTCTGTGCTGCAAACCACACAGTGGCAAAACCAAGTGGGTGGGTGGTCTTTTCACTTAGGCTCACCTATGGCTTTTTTGCTGCTGGATATGGGCAGTTCACAGGGTGCCCTGACTGGAAACTAGAGGTAATCGTGAGATATGAAGATCTAGTCACGGTTGTTCTGTCTCTTAAGGTGCAAAGATTCCCAGCAAACTGGAAAACATTGAGCAGTAGCCCCAGACTACGCAGCCACAAGCAGTAAACAAGATCGTACTTCTGGGTTCTTGACTGGCTCTTCAGGCGCCCTTATTCTGTGGCTTGATTGTGCAGACTGGTACTGAATTGTTCCAACTTCAGCCGAAATGCCATAGAAATACACTTTTGTGTGTGTGTGTGTGTGTGCGGTGGAGGCAGAAGTGTTTATGCCAGCTGCCCTTCAGGTCAAGCTGAGCTGTTCAGAGGGGACAGCTGGACTCCTCCTGCAACAGGCGGAAGGAGGTCTTCCTTGAGACCCAACCTCTGACCGTTTTCGTCCTCTGTCTGCAAAACGTGCTACTATGGAACAGGGCTTGATACGTCTGGTATCTGTCCAGGTAACTTTGGAGCACGTCTCCAGAGCCCGGCCCAGGCTGCAGTGTGGATTTGTAGTTGCTCGTTGCGTTCTGGATACGTGCAGTGAAATAAGTTTGTCACGTGTTGTGGTCTTCCCATATTACTTTGGTTGCAAAAGTCAGAAGATTCAGGAAAACATTCCTGTAAAAATGCAGGACCAGCAGCACCTCATGTTAGAAAGAGCAGCTCTTGGGGTGACTTCCCATTTTTTGCCCCTGCGTTCTTCCGCGATCCCATCGCAGTGGCGTTAGAGTACTTGCAGCTTCCTAGCACCGGAAATTTTACTGCAGAAGAATGCAGAATTAAAATATGCCAAGTAATATGAAATGAACTGGATTGTGGCCTTAATTCGTGGACTGCATCACTCACGACATAATGCAGTGTCACCCAGTAGAAATATTGCTCCTGATGGGTAAAGGCATTAGGAGTACTCAAGGCATGGTACAAAACTTGCTTAATGATTTGCATTTTTTCCCCTATATTACAAAACATAGTTGAGCAGATGGATGCAGCCAGCTGTACACAGAGCTTAAGGGAGTACTGGGGAAAAAAGAGTGAGGTTTTTGTTAAGATAAATGTAATAATCTCCGTGATAATTAGTTTAATTTAGATCCCTGCATCTGACTCATTTTTGACTAACCTGGTATGAAGCCGTTCTGACGAGTCTGTGGATTTGGTTTGATTACAGTCCCTTTTTTGTGCTTGTGGATTGCTCACTGATCACTGGTATTTTTCATTAAGCAGTTGCTTTATTACATTGTTATTTAGAGGGGAGTAATTTGTGTTCTCTAATTAATTTAATTCCAGTCACATTTTGTAAGTAGCTACAATGAGCCCATTCAAGGGGTTTTAGGTCATATTGACATTGTTTAGCAGATGTGCCGGTTTGTTTTTAAACACTGTTAACTCTGTGATGACAAGGGCCCCGTTCGGTCGTACGGCTGCGCTTCCCCCAAGTTAGAATTTGCACCCGCAAAAAAAACCCCAAAATTCAAAGATGCGTTTTAAGTGCTACTGAAAGATGTCTGTATGGATTAAATCACAGAGGAAATACATTGGAAAGGGTGAAGATATAAGCGGGTGCTATGGCATTATCGCAGCTCAGTAGATTTTTTCCCCTGGCGGTAAGCTTGTCCTGTGAAAGACTATCAACTTTTGTGAACATGTCACTGATTTTGGTAAAAAGTCAATTACTGCTAGTTCTGCAGCAAACTCTGGCACAGAGCAGTGACACCGTAAGATTCATCGGCCTGTGAAGGACCTGCCAAACAGTGGCCTTGTGTGCATTTTCCATTATTTTTCAGCCGTTTTCCATCTCTTTTGGATTGGAACAGCTGAAATTAATGACAAACATTGACGGAAAGGTTTGTTCAGTAGCTCATACTTAATACATTTTAACATTTAATGATTGCAGTGCCATAAACTGATTTCTGCTACGCTCTGAACCAACAACCCAGCTGCATCTCAGCTTTATTTTTTGTAGGGAACATCTAGATTGCTGTAATACCTCTCCTGGCTCATGTTGTGCTTTTTATCGAGGGTGCGTGCGTGTGTGGGTATCTGCTCTACTTACTGATTTAATAGGAACGAGCATCTCTTGGAAGGGGAGAGTAAGCATGTGTGTGCATGCATGTGGAAGGAGACGGGGAGGGAATATCTGTCTGTATGTTTACATTTATGATGGTGCCTGGTAAAAATGCAACATGCTATGAATGTTATTAGTACTTTACTCTTTACATGTATTGTACAAACACAGCAACTGTCAGCAGAAATGAAGCTGCATTCTTTGTTTTTTTAGTTCAAACAGTTTTGATGTTTCATTGTCCCCGGATCAATCACTGCCTGAAGGGGCATTAGCTGTTGGCTGGGAATGCACCAGAGCGACATGCAGGGTGCAGATAATCCTCAAAAACTGGAAATTGTTAATTTAAAAAACACGTTGCACTTTTCATCTGAGTCTGTCGAGCAGGCAGCGAATTGGGTGCTATTGATCATTTTTAATTGTGGATCTCGCACGTTCAGAGCTAACATCTCCCAAAGCACCTTAAAATGAGCTTCTTCCCAGACCCACTTGTAGTTCAGCTGCATCGCTCATTGTGTTCTCTGTGTAAAAGTTAGACAGGGCCATGGTTTTTAGCATAAACAAAATGCATAAAGTAGAAAGCATAACGCGGCATAAATGCCACATAAATCATGTCCTAAAGACAAAAGCAGATTTCAGACATTTGAATTACCGAGTGCTTAATGCGTAGGGTAACGTGTCTTTGGGTTTTGTGTTAGTTTTCTGGAACGCTGCTCCGAGCAAAACGCGGGGGTTTCCCTCTCCTCCCAGAGCAGAGGAAAAGGAGGACCGTTCTCAGCGTGCCCGTACGTACGCACAGGAGCAGTCGGTAGCGATCCCGCTTGGCTTCTCCCACGGCTCGCGTTCGTCACGCAGCAAACAAGAGGCTGCTCCAAAACGCAAAATTGTCCTTGCAAAAACCTTCTCTTGTGCCCTCGCCGTTGTTCCTTCCTTTGCATCGACTGTAACCCATATAAAAATCCCCCTTTTTCCTGACTTCCCTGGCTCTGGCATCCCCCCCTCCCCAACCCCGAGGGCCAGGCCGTCGGCAGGGCTCAGTTTTCAAGCCACAGCTCCCTGAAACGGTAACTAGCACCTGCAGTATCTGGCTTCAAACATTTGCACTTAGGGTGGGCAGGAAGGAAAGGTGCGTTTTCTCAGCAAGCTGCCTGTTTTGGGGGGGGGAGGTCAGGCTTGCTCCTCTGCGTGCTTTTGCTTTCCTTTGCCCAGCCGGAGGCTCCCAGCCAAAACTGCCCTTAAAAAAAAAAAAAAATCAATTTCTCGCTGAAATACTTTTTAAAAAAATCAACCTGCTCCCCGAGCGCCGCTCTGATTGGTCCGGATAAAATTGACAAGCCGATCGCGTCAAAAGGAACGATCCT